ATCTGCGCCACAACTGGCGCTGCTTTCCACCACCTCCGGAACATCGCCAGACTATGGCACTACCTCACCCCTCACGCGGCTGAAACTCTGATCCACGCCTTTATCACCTCAAGGCTGGACTATGGGAACTCTCTCCTCGTCGGCCTTCCCGGCCCTCCCTCCACACTGCAGGTCATTCAGAACTCTGCAGCTCGTGTACTGTCCCCCACCAGACACCGCGACCACATCACTCCCACCCTCGCCCTCGCTCGCCTCCACTGGCTCCCCATCCCCCAGAGGATCGATTTCAAGATCCTCATCCTCACCTACACGGCCATTCACGGCCTCGCTCCCTCCTACCTCTCCGACCTACTATCCCCCTACCTACCTGCCCGTACCCTCCGTTCCTCTGGCTCCGGTCTGCTCCACATCCCCTGCCCCAACCGCCCTACCATCGGTGGTCAGGCCTTCAACCTCTCAGCCCCCAGGCTCTGGAACTCCATCCCCCAGTGCCTTTGCCGCTTCCTCCCTTTCCTCCTTCAAGGCCGGTCTCAAGACCTTTCTCTTTGACCTTCAGCCTTCAGCTCCACTCTCGACTCTCTGCTCCCTCCCTTCCCTCCCCTCACCCTGACCATTTCCCCCTTGCTTGGGTCCTGACCCAACTGTACAGCGCCTTGGGACGTCCTCCCGACGTGAAAGGCGCTCTATAAATGGAATCTTGTTGTTGTTGTTGCCTTCCCTCACCCCTCCCCCATGCTCGGGTCCTGACCCGACTGTCCAGTGCCTTGGGACGTCCTTCCTGGGTTCCAAAGGGTGTGCATTGGTTGCAATTACATTTAAAGCCCTGAACTTTCTGGCATGTAACAAATCTACAAAACTGGGGCCATAATGCTGGTTGAAATCCAACAACCACCTTGGGAGAACTGGTCAAAAATGTGAACACTTATAGACTACACCCAATCATCAACATAGGAACAATAGGAGTGGGTAGTTCTATTTTAAATAAATCAGAAATGGTATTAAAAAAGGTCCTAATGGTTGGGAGGTGAATAAATGTAATTTTGTTTTTGTTGTATTAATATAATACAGTATTATTTTAATCTTTAGAAAAAATGAACTCAAAATCAGTTGGTTGCAAGTATTTATACTACATGCAAAGGCAACTGCTCTTTTGTGGTGAAACTGGCACATATATTCCCTGCAAAATAAAATCCCTTAAGACATTCAGCGGTTACCCGAAAAATAAGCCACTGAGTCAGTCACTCAACCTAAGTAACAAAAACCACCACAACTTACATTTACACAGCGCCCCTCACACAGGGTAGTGTCCCAGAGCGCTTAATAATAATCCCTCCAAAAACAAAAAACAATAATAAATTGGTCATTTTCAATCCACGACTGTTTGTGGGACGCTGCTGTGCGCAATTGCCCGCCGCGTTTCGCCCACAAATATACAGTCAATTCACTTTACAGTCTATTCTGTGAAGCGCTTTGAGACGTCGAGAAGACGTGAAAAACGCTATATCAAATGCAAGGATTATTATTATTAACAATAGAGGAGCTCGACGCCGAGCCGGGGGGAGATGACCGTAGGCATGGTCGAAGAGGAAGATCTTCATATGCGACCTGAAGATGGGGAAGGAGGGGACAGGGCAGAGGGATAGAGCACCTCTCATCCTGGGGACAATCAGGGGTAAAACTGCTGTCAGTCAGCAATATTTGTTTCAGTTAGCCACTCTGGCTGCTTCATTCACCCACAAAACACTCATGCAGTACATTTTGTATTTCACCAAGAAAATATACAAATCTCTTCTCGACGTCTCAAAGCGCTTCACAGAATAGACTGTAAAGTGAATTGACTGTATATTTGTGGGCAAAACGCAGCAGCCAATTACACACAGAGGTATCCAACAAACAGTGGTGGATTGAGTGTCTGCATGTTTTGGGGAAGGATTATAAACCCCAGAAAGTGATCTGCAAATCGACAAAATACGGGTTCCTTCTTACTGCTAGGTAAACAGAGACATATGGAGAAAGAAAACTTGTCTCCAGTTTAGCCCTGCACGGGAATTAAACTCAGGTCCTCTCGCTTGTGAGGTGAATGCTCTAACCACTACACTACCACTCCACTATTCCAGATATTTAGGCGGACTGACAGTAGTACACTTACAAATCGCTGTTGCTTAGAAATACTTGCGATCACAGGAGTTATTACACACACTACAGCCTCTTCTCCAGAGAAGTTTCCTGGTGTGCTTGGAGTAGATAACTAATGCTTTAGTGCTGGTAACACTTTGATCTTTGTTCCTGTACCTAAACACATATGGAACCTCCCCGCAAATAATCGTAAAGGACATGAATGTGAAAGAACCTTTCAATGTGATGTGCTCTGCAGTGCAAAAAGCCTAATTGTACCTAATTGTGGTTCAGGGCAGGTCACTCCCTCAATTTAGTTTTCAAATTGCAGAGCATCATAAACCTATAACCTTTTAAAAATCGTGTACTACTTTGATAAGATGGTACAAGTTGGACATAACAATTATTTCCTTCGACAAAATAGCTCGGATGAAAATCTACTTGCACAAATAACCATTTTTAAACTTTTAGAACCTTTCTGCTTCTCCTAAGAATTTTTGGCATTGATTTTTTCCTCCACCATCAGTACAAGGTTAATTTGACCTCCTATTGAAAGAGGATTCAAGTGCCATTTGTAAAAGTCGTGTCACAGTGTCTAGCAATAATCTTATTACTTAAAAATGGCAAGATCTGTACCAATTATTGAAAACTGAGTCAATGCACATCTGTTCAAAATAATAATTTATGTTCCCACAAATTACCTTTGAACCATTAACCTTTAGCTTGTTAAATACATGAAAACCCATTTGAACACAGTAGACATATTTATGTAACAGACAGGAGGTTAATAAGGAATCTGATACCTCAGAGATGATGTAAGTAAATCAGCTTTGTAACCGGGCTATCACGGAAACTCCAAAGGTCAAGCCTCACTGAAATTCGATGGTAAAGGTTTAGCTTCCAAGCTCTTAATCTAGCCTATTGACTCAGCCCACTCCCCTGAGGCAGCTCCTCAGCTTCAACCCCGGCCCCCCCCATCCATCCCCATCACTCAAATTGTGCTCCAATATCCCTAATTAAGAAAATTAGCCATCAGCAAAAATTAAATGGCAAACCTCAGGGCCAAAGCTCTATGTAGATAGGTATACATAGAGGTATGTACACACTGTTTTCGCAACTGGTGAAAAAAAATTTGCTTCATGTTAACAACAACTTGCTTCTTTGCATTTGTATAGCAACTGCGTTCACAGTGAAAATGTCTCTGAGTGCTTAACAGTGGCGGAGCTCGACAACCACCCAGGGAGAGGGGGGAAGTGACCGTAGGCACGGTTAAAGAAAAAGGTCTTCAGCTGTGATATGAAGACGGAAAATGAGGGGGCAAGGAAGACGGATTGAGACTGGGGTCTAGAATCTTGGGGTGTAGTAGCCATTGATGCTGGAGCCGAGGGGATGAGGGACAGTACAGGAGGCCGGAGCGAAGGGGGCGGGTACAGGACTGGGGTGTAAGCAGGTCGGAGAGATAACGGAGATACCACGACTGTCACACAAAAACAACAGGGCAGATCGTTTTTGCAGTATGGGGTTTTGGCACGATGTGAGTCTGATGTTCCCCTAGAAATATTAAAATCATGGAATGGGAAAAGATCATTCAACCCAACAAGTCTAGCTCTTCTACAGCCCACTAACAGCTACTGTACCTCATTATCAACTCCTCACATTTGATGTAAAAGTGGCAGGTTCCATATGTTCCTTACTCAAACTCTCCCAAGTGGAAGTTAAATCAAGTGGAGTTTTAGAATATCCTTTCAACTTCCACACCTCAACTATTACCCTGCAACTACCTTCCATTAATTATCAGCAGCATGGACCACCATGTCTATTGTGTCCATTAGAAACAGGATTAGGCCATTCAGCCCCTCAAGCCCGTTCGGCCATTCTATAAGATCATGGCTGATCTGATCAAGTCCAATTACCTGCCCTTGCCCCGGATCCCTTATTACCCTGACCTAACAAATACCTATCCACCTCAGTCTTGAAGTGTATAGGTATTTATTAGGTCATTGTCCATGGCTATCTGTGTCCATTGCCCATTTCTTTTTGTAAAGATGCTGGCACAACTCAGCATTGATTCAGAACTTAACCAGGAAACTACAGCTCATGCTCACTGCCCTGTGGGAAAAATCCTTCCAGTCTCCCTGGAGGCTTAACATTTTGTATTTGATCAAATAAATTTGGAAGATATTAGCTCAGTAATTTCACCCGAGATTGATGTTTACCCAACCTTCGGGGAAATGCTGGCCAATCTTTCCATGCTGCATCTGAAACTCCTTGTTCGCAAAAGGAACAACGCTGATTGTTTTGCAATGTAGAAATTCATACAAAGTTTAAAACAGTATTACAGCCAGCGACAAGGTACCTGCATTTGTGTGTGTGTGTCTCTTTCTGTCTGCGTGTGTCTCGATATCTCTCTCTGTCTGTCTATGTATGTCTCTGTATGTCTGTCTGCGTGATTATCGCTATCTGTGTCTGTGTCTCTGTATTTGTCTGTCTGAGTGTGTGTATCTCTATCTGTGTCTGTCTCTCTCTCTCTCTATCTCTCTCCAAATACCGGTTTGAAAGTGATTGACAGGTCCCGCTACTGTCCGGCGGTGCCTTGCACCTGTTTCCTGGCCGGTTCGGACTAATCCTGGGCTCCTAACACATATGATCACTGGGGACGTAAAGCAGGCTGGAGCCTGCTGAGCGGAGGAAGCCAGGTTAGTAGGGATTCAGGAGGACGAAGAGGTAGGGGGGTACTTGCAACATGCCCACTTCCGGTTCATGGGCCGATGAAATCATTCGCTAGGCTGGATGTGGCCAGACAGTTGGAGCACGTGGATTTAGGCCATCAATATCCAGTAACAGAACAATTTACTGCACATCGGAAGCAGAAATGAGATACTTACCTTCAGATATTCATGCCAGGGATGGGATTCAACTTTGAGTTTCTTTAGTAACCTTCATCTGTAGAATCGTGTAACCATCCATTCCACTGGGAGGAGGCGGACATGCTGAAATACCATCAGGCAGGAAGGGACCTTTTACTATATCCACTCCACAGAATGAGAATCTCTCTTTGCTGGTCTGGAGGAAAAGCACAGGGACATGTTATTTTAGGGTATCCTTCCCTCAAATGTTAATAATAATCCTTGCATTTCATACAGCGCCTTATCATGTTGTTGAGATGTTTCAAAGTGCTTCACAGAATATGCTGTAAAGTGAATTGACTGTGTAATTTGTGGGAGAAACTTTATGCTATCTAATAAATATTAACTAATAATCACAGCAATACTTTGAAGACCTTAACACAATTTAATGGCTTGTTGTCTCCTTTCTTCCCAGTATCAATCCAACAACAACAACAACAAAATCAATTTGTATAGCGTCTTTCATGTCGGGAGAATGTCCCAAGGCGCCGGACTACCAGCGTTTTTGACCTGAGCTGGGGGTTGGGATTGGGGAGGTCAGGGGGAAACACAGTTGATGAGGAGGGTCATGAGAAGAGTCTTGAAGGAGGCAAGGGAGAGGGCGAGGCAGAGAGACTGCGGGATGGAGTTCCAGAAGATGCAGGCAGAGTGGTTGAAGGCCCGCCCGCCAATGGTGGGGCAGGTGAGGCAGGGGACGTGAAGCAGCCTGGAGCCTGCTGAGCTGAGGGAGTGGGCAGGTTCGTAGGGGTTTAGGAGGTCATAGAGGTACGGGGGTGCTTGCAACATACCCACTGCCGGCTTGATGTGCATTCTCAAGAGTTAAACGCGACTTCTCAAAACATTTACAGGAAGAAAACGTTGTTCCATTTTAGCGTGTGAGATATAAACTTGTGCCAGGCAGTTCAGGGGACAAGATATCCTACAGCCTGCTGCATGGAACAAACTGAGACCGAACAACAGAAATCTAAGTTGAATTGAAAAATATAAAAGAGACATCACGAACAAAGGCTTGAAACACAGGACAGGTCCAAACCAGTCACTCTGTTCCACTTCCAACCTTCTTGAACAGAATGCTGACTCACCAACTGCAAGTGTTGTTTTTAATTGTACCACATAATGAAGGAACAGAAACCTCAACACAGAACAGAGCCATCATGTCCACTAACAGGGTAGAGGCTGCCTAGTGCTACATTCACTCTTAGTCCACAGACTCTTATGAGATATTGGCACGTTAAAAACTCCAGCCGGACTCTAATGCACATTCTGAGGTCCCGAAGCCTTGGCTCTCCCCAAACTACACCTAATATTACCCCAAATAAGGTGAGCAGGGTGACCCCCCCCCCCCACCGGAGGGAGAGAGTGGGTATTCCATTACTACACAGAGACATTTCCAGGTGTAAGTGACATACATTTGTGTCATTCTCAGCTTAGTTTGGATACTCTTAATGATAGGTTTCCGCGTGTGTCAGACACCCTGTTGGGCAAAACACAATGTGCATTGGCGGTGGTGGGGGCAGCCCTGACTTCTCCAGAAATCACGGTTCATCTCAAAAGCATCCTTTCACAGTAAAATAGCGGTCAGATTGTGCAAGCCTGGCTGACTAGTTGTCAGAGAGACAGACAGGCAGTAACTTTTTGTAACTTTCTCACCCACTGTTTGCCAACAAATGTGAAAGCAGCAAATGTCGATTTCTGAGGTTTAAAAAACAGTTTAAAAGAAAACTTTTCACGGATTGTTACATTTCATGGTGGTTTAACTCGATTATGATGTCACCAGTGTAACGGTCAAAACAAATTGAAAAATAATAATAATCCTGGCCTTTGATATAGCGCCTTATTACGTCTGCAAGATGTCTCACTGCGCTTCACGGAACACACTGTAAAGTGAATTGACTGTATATTTGTGGGCGAACGCGGCAGCCAATTGCGCACAGCAATGTCCCACAAACAGTCGTGGATTGAAGTGACCAATTTATTATTTTTTTCTTGAGGGATTATTATCAGGCGTGTGGAGTAAGGAAACATGCCCAAGGTTTCACCCTCTGCAGGGAATCGAACCCAGGTCTCTTCGCTTGCAAAGTGAGTACTCTAACCACTGAGCTGCAGGACTCCACTTTGTACACAGCAACGTCTGACAAACAGTTATGGATTGAGTGACCAAATTATTATTTGGTCAAAACAAGTCCTGTAGCTTAGGTGTCCTGTATATTTGTCCACAAATATACAGTCGATTCACTTTACAGTCTATTCTGTGAAGCGCTTTGAGACATCTAGAAGACGTGGAAAGCACTGTATCAAATGCAAGGATTATTATTATTTTTTTGAAGGAATTATTACCTCCGGAAAAGAGATCCGCGAATCGACTAACAACTGGATTCCTACTTACTGCTAGGTAAACAGAGCGCGTGAAGTAAGGAAACTTGCCGAACATTTTACCCTGATGGTAGGATCGGGACGCAATCTGTCGAGCCACACAGAATGTCTGTCTGTGATATCATCAAACAGAAATCCTAAACTACGGACTACATAGTACTAATGGTACATCAAATAGCAAATATTCAGGCCCCAGGGAAAAATGCTGTTTGGACCAACTAGTCTGGTTTATTATAATAATCATTGTACTTGAAACAGCACAGAAGGATGTCTCAAAGCACTAATGGGATTTACTGTAAAATATGATGACTGTATATTTTGTAGGTGAACATGGCAGCTAATTTGTATACAGCAATGTCCCACAAACATCTGTGAAGTGAACTGACCATTTTGTTTTAATGGGAGATGTTAGATCCCTTGTCTTTTTAAATAATGTCATTCTCTGAATTCAGCATTAACTGTGCAATTTTGAAAGAGTCATTTAATTTTGTCAAATCTGGATTCCCTTCATAATAATAATCCTTGTATTTGATATAGTAACTTTCACTTCTTCTAGACGTCTCAAAGGGCTTCACAGAATAAACTGTAAAGTGAATTGACTGTATATATTTGTGGGCGAAACGCGGCAGCCAATTGCCCACATCAGTGAGGATTGAAGTGACCAATTTATTATTGTTTTTTTTTCTTGAGGGATTATTATCAGGCATATGGAGTAAGGAAACTTGCCCAAGGTTTCACCCTTGTATCGAGTATCGAGCCCAAGTCTCTCGCTTGCGAGGCGAGCGCTCTAATCACTGAGCTACAGGATATCCTTGCGTTATGTCACGCTGCCTATGCAAATTGTAGGGATCATTCTTTTTAAATCTTTGTGGGCATCTTTCTGCTATTCAATCCAACCAGGTCAGTATCCAACATCTCTATATTTTCACTTCTACTCCAATTTAAATGTCTCCTCGTTGCTTCAGCCATTTGCAGCAGCAGAAGTTGTTCTTGGCAGTAATCGTACTCAAAACAACAGCTCACAAGAATGTCAATCTGCCTGAGGCATCAAAACAGTTTATCAACACAAGCACACATAGATGGATGATAAAATAACCGACTTTATGATTGCTCCTAAAAAAATGACTTTGATAGTGTAGCATTAGAGATGAAGATGGGTAAACAGCCATAATTACACTATGCATCTCAAATGCCCAGTCTCACACCTGAAGAAATGGACAAGGGCAAGTATCCAGAGAACTGCTAATGGAAACATACCTCAGCATTGCCTCAGGGGAGAAAGAAAGCACAGAATGATTGTTCCAGTTTACCTGCAGAGTAGTTAGAAGCAACAGATGGAGACTGAGAGTCGATTGCTACTGCTGCTATATCACAAACTGTCCCAAGTTTGCAAGAATACTACGTGGACTTATTCCCTCTTTAAATGTACAGCCTACAAAGCGAGTATTTTTTATCTCCACCTGAAATAAACTGAGAAACAGAAAGAAAAACACTGTACATATAATTAAGGGCGAAGGAATAATAATCCTTGCATTTGATATCGCGCCTTTTCATGTCATTGAGATGTCTCAAAACGCTTCTCAATATACTGTAAAGTGGAATGACTGTGTATGTTTTGGAGGCGAAACGCAGCAGCAAGTTGGTACAGCAACGACCCACAAACAGCCATGTAGTGAGCGACCAATATTATTTGGGGTATTGTCAGCCAGGACATCGGGAGAGAGAAACTCTCCTCTTTTCAAATAGTGCCATGGGATCTTTAACATCCACCTGAACAGACTTAACGGGATCTCAGTTTAATGTCTCTTCCAAAGGATGCAGTGACAGCTTAGACTCAGAGTGAAATTAAATCACTCTTTCAAGTCACACAATTGGGATACAAACGACAGTGGCGTCCCCCAGGGATCGGTATTAGGACCACTGCTCTTCTTAATATACATAAATGATCTGGACTTGGGTATAACAAGTACCATTTCCAAGTTTGCGGATGACATAAAGTTAGGTAGGGTGGTAAACAGTGAGAAGGATAGTAGCCAACTGCAGGAAGAAAGACAGAATGGTAAAATGGGCGATACATGGCAGATGCCATGAATATTCCCCATTGGAAATAACTTTGAGCTCATCGTCGAGGCTGCACTCCAATGCATTACTAGGAAGATTCTGCATTGTTGTAGGTGCCGTCCTTTGAAAGAGACCTTAAACCAAGATCCATTCTGCTTGTTCAGGTCGACATAAAGATCTCGTCACTATTTTAAAAGATCATGTCACTATTCGTTGAGACGTCTCAAAGCGCTTCACACAATATACTGTAAAGTGTAGTGATTTGTCTATTTTGTGGACGAAACCCAGCAGCCAATTGTGCACAGCAGTGAGTTCACCTCACCAGGTGGGGATGGGGGTCGAACTCACAACCTTTTGACTCAAGAGGCCAGAGTACGACTAACTGAGCCGAGCGGATACAAGAGACTTGAATAAAAGAGCAGTCGATGAAATGGGTGGAGTGAGCCTTGTGCCTACATCGTACATCTGGGTGACAAATACTAAGAATGCCTCAGAAGTTAACACTTACCGAGATTCCATTATTGCCTTATATAACACTTAAAGATAACACAAAAAACGTAAAACTTGGTTTTCTTTGGAGGTTTTTCTTGTTATGTTTTTATTTTTCACAAAAACACAAAGGTAGCAGTATGTTTTGCCCACAAACTTTAGTCAATTCACTTTCACTCCCGACGTGAAAGGCGCTATACAAATGTAATCTTGTTGTTTATAGGATATT